ATTTATTTACCAGTCCTGCCCCTGAAGAACAATAAGCAGTTTCCTCCCAAAGATTTACAGTCTGGGGAACCCATGGAGGGTCTGTGAATCAAATTAACTGGATGGTAGTGAGGTGAGAAACCTGTCATCCAGAAGCCCTGGCAGTTGAATTGAAAGGTTCCTTGAAACTCACCAGCAGCTGGGAGGTTGGGGGTTGTAGGGGTGAGTAAGAGAAATACCTTCAGCAAAGATTTCAACCTAGGAATCTCTGAACAGCAGTTCTACTCTGTCCCATAGGGTTGCTGTGAGTCATAAGTGACTTAACAAATTTTTTCTCATCTGATCTCATAAATACTTTTTTAAAGGCTTATGATTCTCAGAGTGAATTTGTCTCTGTGTGTGTGTGTGTGTGTGTGTGTGTTTATGTGTATATATACATGTTGTTGTTATGTGCCGTCGAGTCGCCTGCGACTCATAGTGACCCTATGGTACATATTGTTGTTGTTGTTGTTATGTGCCATCGAGTCGTTTGTGACTCATAGCAACCCTATGCACAAAAGCCCTAAACCCTGCTCTATCCTGCGCCAACCGCAGACCAAGAAATAAAGACCTGTTCATATCTCGGGATCAGTTTCTTTCTGTCTTTCTCTCACCCTCAATATTCTTTTTCTATCTAACACAACTATTCTCTAACACACAGTCCTTTTTTTTTAATTTCTCTACAGCACTTACCACTAACCAAAAAGATCCTGGGCTTTCATCTACCCATTCACTGTCATAAATCCGCTCCAGTACATAGCAGCACTGCGTATATATCCGAGTAGAACAATGCTTCAAAGGCTTTTTAGTAGGTAATTGACTGGAATCAGAGAGATTACCAGACCTTTCTTCTGAAGTGCTCTGTGTGGACTTAAACCACCAGCTTTAGAGTTAGCAGGGAGTTCGTTAACTGTGTGCACCACCCAAGGACTCCTACTTATTTATCTTCTATCCTTCGAAACAAGAACCTTGTCTATTCTGTTTACTGTTATAACTTAAGCCATAATAGTTCCCAGCATCCTATAGATGAACAATTACACGACAGATAAATGGCCTACTTTGACAGCTCAAGTTTCTTCAATAAATGTTGAAGTTTAAGAACCTGAGTGTCTTACATGTTTATTCAGTTAGTGTTTAAAACAAAGTACATAAAGAAAAGAACACTTTATTAACTTCTGAAATCCTATTGCCTTTTTTCTTTAAAACATCATGTTTAGAATGTTGAATATATACTGTAAACATCAAATAGACACAGATACAAAAAAAAGGATCACTATTTGTCTCAACTGAAAGAAGTCATTTCCCAATCTATTCATGTAATTTTGCCTTCAGCAAATGAAAATCCGCTACTTTATATGGAAAACTGTTGGGGGTTTAAATTTTTAAACTTATTTATTATTTAATTTTTATTGACTTAAGAAATAAGGTACACTAACACCATGCTGATACTAAAAAGTACTATATTGCTGATAATGCTGTTGTTTGGCACCATAGCAACCCCATGAACAAAAGATCTGAATCCTGTGCCATAAGGACCACACCTCTGATACATACGAGCCCAAACTGCAATCACTGTGTCAATCCATCTCATTGGGGGGGTCTTCTTTTCTTTCACTAACCCTCCATCTCATACAAATACATTGTTTTCAGGGTAAGTTATTCATTCATCCATTCCGCATGCATATGCATTAACCACCTACTAGGCAGCAAATAGAATTAACTTATTACTAGTTTCTGCCCAGTCTAGCTGGTAGAAACTGAGTAATAATGCAATATTTTGCCAAGTGATGATTCTAACCAATACAATGCCACAAACACCACATGCAATATACCATGAAAGGAGCAAGGCTGTTAACAAACCCAGGTTTTGTCAGGAAAAGTGTACAAGTGGTACTGTGATACCTACAATGAGTCTTGAAGATGTAAGGAGAGAAAAAGGGTGTTCCAAACAAAGTAAATTTTTAAGGATAAAGAAAGTGATCAAATGTGCAAGCACCACAAGAGCAAAAACTGTGAGGGATGGAAGAAAAATGAGGCTAAAAATGGGTGTAGGATATAGATAATGAGTATCCTGTATACTATCCTAAATAGTTTACATAGGGCAGTGGTTTTCAAAACAATGTCAACAGAACCCTGAGGAATGCTATTAGATTTTTCCAAGAGAAAATTTTCTTTCCAATTTCATAAACATCTAAAATAACTAAATAACTTTTGGGATCATCTGAATGACCATCTTATAATTTTATGCTGGCAAGAGATCCCAGAACACTTAACCACACTGATGCAAAACCTTCCGTAGACCAAGAAGCTATTGTTCTAACAAAATAGTGGGACCCTGGAAAAATGTGTGTTAGTATTGTATTCTTTCTCTATATGCCATTTAACCTCTATGTTGAGCAAATAATTCGAGGAACTAAACTATATGAAGAATGTCATACCAGGATGGGAGGAAGACTCATCAACACCTGTTTATGGAGCTGATATACTTGCTTACTGAAAGTGCAGATGACTTCAAGGTTGTAAATACTAACAGGAGGAGATGCTTATCCTAACAGGACGAGATTGCCTGTCTCTGAGACACCAGTGGATCTGAACCTCCAGAGATGCCTGGCCTTTTGATTGGCAGTACAAGGTTCAGTAAAACAGTCTCATAAGCCATAATGAATTGCAGTTGAATAGAAAATTTATTTCAATTTTATTCATTTATTGCTTTGCTTAATTTAGAAATGTTTGGATATTAAAGCTGTGCAAAAGTTATATCATAAAGTGTTTATACATAGTTTTTATTTGTATGTATTTAACATAATACAAGGGAGCACTGGTTGCCTAGTGATAAGGAGTTGCACTGACAACTGAAGATATGAGGTTCAAATCCACCAGATGCTTTCCTGGAGAAAGCTGGGCAATCTCTTCCCATGAGATTTACTACCAATGAAAACCTACTGTAGGGTCAGCCATGAGTCATTTCCAACTGGACAGTACTCAGCAACAACATAATTAAAAAGATTGTAAGTTAAGAGTGGATGATCTTAGGTACCTACTTGGATTGAGAAAAACTGTTAATGGGTGATTGGGAGCCACTGAAAAGATTTTAGAGGGAAATGATTTAATTTTTATATTTCATTTAGTGATTTTTAGAAAAATACTGGTAGCAGTGTGGAGGATGAGAATTGAAAAGAATCCAAGATTTAAAAAGTTGTGATTGCAAAACTTATACAGACCTTACCAAGGCTCCTTAAGCAATTTGATAAAATGAATTAGGTCCTCAAATACCCAGAGGGAATGGAGGTAAGATAGGTAAGAGCCAGAATCAAAAGAACTTAGTCATGTGTGAGGTCAGGTGGGAATTCAGGATGATGGCTGAGTGACAATCTTGGATGACTGAGATACAGACCACAGAAGGCAAACAAGAAGCAGCGAAGGGAAATGAGAAAAGAGAGAGATGAAGCATTCAATCCAGCAATGATTTTAATTTCAACAACAACAAAAAAATCAGTCCTCTTTTCTCAGTGACAGCTGCATTCATGAATTACCAAATTGACTATTGTAGCACTCTCTAAAAAGATACAAAGTACTCCACAGTATGCTGTAAATAAGACATGGAAAATCAGCAAAAGAAGGAAATTCAGGAGGGGTAAAATGGAGGTGTGACTTTTTTTTTTTTTTATGAATAATCTAAACTGACCAGTCGCACTATCCCAGTATTGTACTCTTTGCTCTGCCAATTAGATCGATAACCACCACTCAGACTTTGGCTAGGCACCTGAGAATCCTCTCGAGAGAGGCAAAGTCTCTACTTGAAGGGGATTGCAGCCAAGCAACGGAAGACATCTCGTGCAAGATATCTAAAAAAATGTGGTGCTGAGAACTGAGCCTACGGGCAGAGCTGACTAAATAGAAATTATCTGTTTACGTAGAGGAACCACGGTGGAACAGTTAAGGCAACCCAATAAGAATGTAAACATTTCATATTTTATTCCCTACAAGGAAAACTATGGAAGGGTAAAAGTGCAATGATTATTGATTGCAGCGCCAGCCACTGTCCCAGCAGACCACAGAAGGGCGCGGAGGTGCGGGTGCTACGGAAAAAGAGTAATTTAATCTTAGTTTGGTGAGTCAATCGCATGTTCCATCATTAATTTATAATGCATAAGTACAGTGTTTGTACATCCGAAATGTTTAACCCTCAACTTCAACCATAACGTCCAACGTGTGGCCGAAGGGGAAGCCACAGGGCGTACCTTTAGCACATGGAGCTGCTTTGAGGTCGCACTCGACACGGTGCCCCTCTCGACTCCCTGCTCGGGCCCCCCTGAGTTTAGGTCGGGGTCTGAAAGGAGCAGGGGTTAGTCAGGGAATTGAGGGGTGGATCTTCGAAAGCAGGGTTCACTCAAGAATCAGAGAAACAGCAGGCGGCAGCACAACACACCCGAGTGCGGCTCAGGGTCCACGTGCACACCCGGAAACACGCTCCACCTTCACCGCGCAGCCGCCCCGCAGCCGGAGAAGGTGGGGCGGGGTCAGCAAGGGGGTAGGAGGCGGGGCCGGAGAGCTACTTCACTCCCACTGCCTTGTGGGAATTGTAGTTCTGAGGCGAAACCAGGCTCACTCAGAGGTCAGTGGAAACTACATTTCCCGGTGAGGAAGCGGCTCCGGCAGGCCACGCAGGAAAGGATGTGTCGTATAGTCCACGGCCGGGTCCGGAGCCAAAGAGTGTTTGAAGCCGTAACAGGAGCGGACCTGGAAGGAGGAGGGTTGTTTTTTTCCCCCTGCCCCCATTTCTGCGCTTGGCGGCGGCTAGAGTACAAATAAGGGGGCGGTGCCGGCTCTCCTTCCCCTCGCACTTTACCTCCTCGTCCCCGACCGGTTCCTGTGTTAGGTTTTTCTAGGCCCTGCAGGTATTTGGGTCTTTGCGATTCACAGGTAACAACCTCTTTCTCGAGCAGGTGTCAGGGGCGCGCTCCTCTTTGGTTCGAGCCTCCATGCATCGGACCCGGAAACCCAACGTGTGCCTCCAGCTGAGCCGCCGGGCGCTGGGCTGCTTTTCACGCGACGCAGGCGTGGTGCAGAGGATGAACTTGAGCATCCTGCGGGTGCTAGTGTGCCAGGTGACAGCCTGCTGGCCGGGAGCAAAACAAAAGACAGTCTGCCATCCCTGGTCCCTCCTCCTGTTGGGTTGCAGGTTTTGCGCGCTAGGACCCCTGTTTAAGAGACTTGCATGTCGTAGGGAGGTGGGATATGTTCCCTGACCCTTGAACTTGGTGATTAGTAAAAAGCTATTAATACGGCTCTAGATGCTTTCAGAGTGCTCTTTAGAAACATGGGTGCTGAAACTTCATCTCGCATACTCTGGGCATATTGTCAAAAAGGCATCAGTCCTTGGAAAAAGAAATCATGCGTGAAGAGTGGAGGATCGGTGAAAGGGAAGACCAGCAAGGAGATAGATGGGTTGACATAGTGACTGAAAATAAGGGCTTGAGTTTGATGAAGATAGTGGGGATGGTAAAAGATAGGGCAAGGTTGTTCTAAGAGTCTTGTTCATAGGGTTACAGTGAATCGTAGTCGACTGGATGGCACCCAACAACAGATTCTTTGAGTTTTAAGTTCTTAGATTTCCCTCTTTAAAAATCTAAAAGTTTCCCAGCTTAAATCATAAACACAGTGTAAGAATTGAAAATACAGTAATGTTTTTAAAATCGCATTTATTATTTTGTCAGCTGCAAATTTAGCTATCCAATATAAAATTGGTGCATATTAAAGTAATTCTTTTCTAAATATGAATATATTGTGTTTTTCAGGAAAGTACTAAATTTAAGAATGTTTGGACAACTCATTCCAAATCACCTATAGCCTATGAGAGAGGAAGAATATATTTTGACAATTATCGGTGCTGTGTTAGCAGGTAACTTTATGGTGAATTTTTTAAATTTTATTCCAATTTTATCATAAATCTAAAGTTTTATAGAGCCACATACCTCTATTAATGCAAGTTCATTAATTCTGTGTTCTTATTATGTGCCATTGAGGTGAAACCAAATCATAGTTGACCCTACAGTGGGTTTTCAGAGACTGAAAATCCCCCAGGAGGGAATTAATTGCCTGTATTTCTTCCAGGAGTAGCTGGTGAATTTGAACTGCCAGTGCAGCTGCTTGTCCACTAAAATAGGAGAACTGCATAGTTCAAAACTACTGTTGAACTCCTCTCGTGGTTTTCTTATTTCAGTTAATGTACTTTTCCCCCTTCCAGAATTCCTATCTGGTTCTTTTTTAAAAATAATTTCAATCTATTTATTCTCTATTTGAGAAGAAATTTCCATGTAGCTCATAGGCAACAGATTTTAATTGAGCATTTAATTTTTGGGGGGTGGGGGGAATGAGAAAAATTTGTATGTAGAATTAGCCAGCTGGACTCAGTTTAGATGATCGCAATTTTGTTGGGAACATCCAAAGCATCATAGTCAGGAACAAGTCGAACCTAGGCCTTCTTCTCTCCATCAGGCCTAATCAAAGTGTTGACCATAGCCACATCAATTTCATAGAGCTTCTCTACAGCTTGTTTGATTTGGTGCTTGTTGGCCTTGACATCCACGATGAACACAAGTGTGTTGTTATCTTCTTCATGGTTGACTCAGTGGTCAGGGGAAACTTGATGATAGCATAGTGGTCAAGCTTGTTTCTCCTGGGGGCGCTCTTCCAGGGGTATTTGGGCTGCCTTCGAGTCTCAGCATCTTAGGCCGCTGGCAGGTGGGTGACGTATGGATCTTAATTTTTTTGTGGCTGTGGATGCCCTTCAGGACTGCCTTCTTGGCTTTTAATGCCTTTGCTTTGGTTTAAGTTTTGGGAGGGGCAGGGGCTTCCTTCTTCACTTTAGGTGCCATCTTCATAGAAAGGCTAATTAAGCATTTTTATAATGGCTATTTTGAAGTCTTTGTTAAATTCCATTTTATTTCTGATATATGGGTTAAGTGGCCCTGCTCCTTTTCATGTCTTACAATATTTTGTTGAAAATCCTACAGTCTTAAACTTCTGATGTTGCTCCCCAGCTTACACAGCCCTTTTCCTACTCATAGTAACCCTTGGGTGACGGGTTTTGGCAGGGCTGTCTTTGTTTCTCTGACACTCATTCTGCCAGACCATCTCATAGCAGATCATCCATTGAGTTTCCAAGGTTTTGAATCCCTAGGATAGTTCTTGCTTTTCTTTCGCCCAGGAGCCACTGGTCAATTTGAACTACCAGAGAGATACGTCTTTGAGTTAGCAGCACAACTTTCTTTAGACTGGAGCTCTCTTTTCAGACTGTATCCAGCCATTAATCTTCACAGTTTACCAGCTAATGATCTTACTACTTGTAACAACCTGAGGTATGAATAAATCCACAGCCTGATTTAATCAAAGGCAGGCAGTTCTAAAGAAATAATTTTTTTTAAAATATTTTTTTTTATTGGGAAAAACATATTGGGGGTACAAGGAGGTGAGGGTTGGGGGCAGAAGGGTAAGGATGGTC